CCACCTCGCCCGGCTAGTTTTTTGTATTTTTTTAGAGACGGGGTTTCACCATGTTAGCCAGGATGGTCTCGATCTCCTGACCTCGTGATCCGCCCGTCTTGGCCTCCCAAAGTGCTGGGATTACAGGCTTGAGCCACCGCGCCCGGCCGGTATGTACTTTTTTTAAAGAAATAATGTTATTGTATATTTAGTAGACTACATTATAGTGTAAACACATATTTTATATGCACTGGGAAACCCCAAAATTTGTGTGACTTATTTTGGTTGTCTGGAACTGAATTCACACTTCTCTGAGGCATGTCTTCATAGCATAAAATACTTACAGGATTGAACATAACACTAGTATATGTGGGAAAAGGCCAGATATAAAATGCAATTTTTAAAAGGAAGCCTCAATTAATTGCCTTATAATGATGGACACATAGGGAAGGGAAGAAAGGAAGATGCATCAAAAAAACACAGAATTCAATTCATTAACATAGATTTACACTTTATTTTAAGTTTGCATCCTGAGATAATAAAATTTTATCTGACAAGTGAACAATGACAGAAGCAGCAGTGAAAGTTTCAGAGAGACAGGTATCCTTCATTTTGGCACAGCTGTATATAGATTAAGTTTTTCCAGGGAAGTCATTCTTGGACTCAAGGGAGAAAAAATGAATTCATTCCACAGGCTACGTAACAATGCAAGATGCATGAAAGTTCTTAGTTTGGACGACCATATCCACTATTATTCTTTTCTGGTAAAGCTGTCCCAACAGGAATCCTCTGACAAAAAGTCAAAATCCTAGGCTTCTCCACCAGATATTTTTATCAATGCCCACTTTCTAGTTACCTGGATATCCTGTTCTTGCAGCCAGATTAATATTTGTATGTGGTTAGTCCAAGGAGGGCAAATTCGCTTGTAGATTATATACTTTCAAACACTTGTTACTTGTTTCAAAGTCCAGGCATTAAAACAATTTTACACTATTTGCGTACTAGAAAAAATGGAAAAAAAAAGTCGAGATAAAAACAAAGAAATAAAAGAACATTTGAGAAATTATTGCCTTGATTCATGATGTTGAATTTATATACAGAACTACTTTAAGAGTCAGAAATTGATATTTAGTCCAATGCTATAATATGACATTATAACATTTTCCACATTTGTAGTCCTCTATGTGTGTGTATATATGAGCAACATGTACACACCTAAATAAACTAGGCCAGTTATATTCTAAAACAGAAAAAAAAACTGAAGGCAAATTTTCACCTTGAGTTATATAGCCTAATATAGCCAAAACAGGCAAACACACGCATTTCATTATTTAGAGACTAGGTAAGCAATCTGTGGAGAGGGTCAAATAATCTTAGTTCCTTTACAAAAGTGGTTCCCAACATTTTTACCATAAGAATCCCTTCATTATTCTTTTTCCCATGTTTCCAAGTATTTAATAAGTTGCACATAATAGGCTTATTTTATTATTAATCAAAAACATACTGCCATTCACAGCTTTTGATCAGTTGTTAATAAGCAAGCAGTGATAACACAGAATTGAGAGAATATAGGCAAGATGCATGGAAATTCAATGTCTTAATTGGCTTGTGAAGCAGGAATATTATGGGTAAATGTATAATTTCTAATATACTTTTTGAAATATTACAAAAAGATCAAGGATACCCTCCACTGCTATCATCTGCTGAAGTTGGGAACCACTGATTTATATCCACCTGCTTTTCCTCCCTAAATATGTATTAACATAATACAATTACCCACTTTTAACACATAGGGGATTAATAACAAAATTTACTATTAAAACAATAGATCAACTGCAACAGTCATTCTGTAGGACCTGACTGAGAAAGAAAACACAGCATGGATTTAAAGAAATCTATTTAGAAATTATATAATTATGATATCCAGTATATCTTTCAGTCAACTTCAAAGCACACTAATATATGAAAATATCCTCAATTCCCCTGTGAGGTAGGTCCAGATTATTGTCCCCACTTCAACAATGAGGACGTGAGGTACAGAGGAATTAAGCAGCAGAGCCAATAATTAAACCAGAAGTGACTTGCATTTGAGACCCATACCACTTTCCTTTCCACCTAATTTTATCAATTTGTTCCAACAGATCTTTTTGAGGGTATGGAATTTGATTAGACACTAAAGTAAATGTTGGATAGGATACGAAATCTTTACATAAATGCAAAAGTGGGTCCTCCAATATTTCCATTGTTGTTACAGCTATAATTCTTGCCTGAATGCCAACTGCATAGACAGATTCTACACAGGCAAAGCACACAGACCTCAGTGCTCAGTTCCTAGGAAAACTACATTTACTCTTAGCATCACCGGGGAACTAAGGTCTAGCAAGCATCAGGTTCTTGGAGTCTGTGTGATAATTAACACACATTAGCCAGCAGCCAGTCGGCAAATCAAACTTTTACTGCATGCAAGGCACTGTGAGAGTTTCCACCAAGAACAGTAGATCTGAGAGTAATCATTCTGAGATTCTATAGAGTAAAAATGTCCTAAGAATTCTTTGAATCACAGAATGTTAAGTGATCTCTAATTTTTTGTACAGCTCTAGGTTCCACCCCATAATTGTACAGAAGAAGAGACAGACATGCAATTAAGATGAACTGCCTGGTGCCCACAATATTAGATCATTTCCTCGTATTGTATGAATTTGACAAAGTCCACAGAAAATGGAACATACTCACGGGGTGCCATCAAAGCAAAAAGGCTGGCTCAGAATCAGGTAAGAAAAATTTGGGGCAAGATAAGATCATTCATTTATATATACAGATAAATATCAATTGTTTTAGTCCACATACTACATGAACAGGTATTAATAAAACCTATGCATTTTTTGTGGAACATTTCCCAACTGTTTGCTATTTAAAGGAACCCAAATAATTTGACAGTTGTTGCAAAATATTTTTAAAGTATACTTTTATAGGCATAAGAGAATCTAATTTCAATAAATTTGAGCACTTATAATCAAATTAGCAAAAAAGTATTTCCACTATGTGAAACTGCTCCAGTTAATCAGGTGAACATAATTTCTATATCCTCCTAGGTCAATATAGTACATTTTAATACAATATTGTTTGAGAGCTTAACATTCAAGTAGTGAGGTTTTATTTTTTTTAAATGGAAGCTTATTTGTAAACAAAATAAAAATGCTAATGATCTTTTAAAGCTTTCATACATTTGTTCAAAGGCTTACACATTTTTAAACTTATTCAAATTTCACCAAAATGGTAGATGAGTTTAATTGCTCAGACATTAGTGTTTACAGGCCATAATATGAATAGTATGTACATTAAATACTTAAATGGGTTTTGGTGGGGCTTTAATCGAAGACAACTGTCCTTCCAGAACTAAATTAAATTACATGTTAAATTACATGTTTAGAATTATACTGTTTTTTTAAGTGACTAATAGTCCGGTTCTATAACATTTTGTCACTAATATATCATGATTGGGGAAAAGGAAGAGGCTTTACATAATAAATAAAAGATAATACACCAGCAAAATATTCTTAAACCTAGTTGAAAAGGATGATTTCCAATCTAATCATCTACCAATTCATTTTTATGCTTCCTTACACGTAATGTGTTATCTTTGTTCTAAAAAGACAAGGCACTTCTCCATCTTCTTCTAAAATTTTACTACAGTGGTCTCTTTCCTAAATTAGCATAAGTGTTAGGAGGGAACAAAGAGTGGAGATATATCTGGGATGGAGTTAATAAATCTGTAAATAACACTTGTCCATATTAGTTATTAGGAATAAACATGTTATTGGCTTTTAGGACAAGCTTAAAAATAGGCAGTTGGTCAAATTTATTAAGCCAGAATCTTGGGCCAAATGAGAAACACTGGAACATTAATTTAAAAAAACAATCTTAGCTTGTAACCTCAAAGCCTTGTGAGATTTATATACTTTGGCAAATACATGTTGTTTTGCTCTGGAAACTATCACAAGTTTCATAAAGGAATATTATGTAACAAAGAAATTCAAAATTACTTTCTTCAGTCTAAAAACAACTTTCACAAAAGTATGTAACTAACCTAATGGAAAATTACAAGTATGTTCTATCCTAAGCGTAACAGAAAAAAGGCTCCATGGGGGAGGAATTAATCACCAGTGTGCTGTGTCATTTTAGCATTCACTGCAACCAATTTCACTGAAAACAAAGCACCACTCCCCGCAAACATTACAAAATACTCAATTGCTAATCAGCCCCCTGCAAAGAAAAACAGTTTGAAAAAGTAGTCATACAAGAGAGGAAAAAAATTGGTATTTTTTTGGGTAGTTGGAGAAACTACGATGAGTCAACCAGCATAACGAACCATAAAATAACAAACTTGAGTGATTAGAATAGGCTTTAAAATTAAGTTTACACATGCTGACAAATGGTTTTTGTGACAAATGCTATTGTAACTTGAATTATACTGTGTTATTTCCAGATACACTCTATTCCCATTCTCAATAATTGTTTCATGGAAACAATTCACCATTTCCTGCTGTTCTTTGAGCAAAACCAAGTGTGATTTATACATGGCAGAAAAAGTTCCTATGACTATCATATGATCAAATTCTAAGGTTACAGAAAAAAAAAATAAGACTTCTAAGGATTAACACTTAAAGGCAATTATCCTATCAGTGATAATGAGACATTCTGTATTATGCTGAAAATCAATTTTGGTATTAAAATATCACAGTTTGAAGCAAAAATTTGATAACAATAGCTGGAACATAAACCTCAGATACAATTTTTCCCTGACCTTAGCTATAAAACAAGACATTTGGTATACATTTTCAGAGGCCTCTACCTTGTCTATAAAAATACACCTTGAATTTTGCAGCAGGCAAACACATGATATTTGCAGGCATACACATTATTAAAGGTTAGAGATTTGGGGTGGCTGAGTGGCATAGAGGTAATGGGGCACAGAGGAAGGTGGAAAAGTGTTTGTGCACACAATTATAATCACATATCAAATAGTATCTTCTTTTTCTCTCTTTTTTAAGCTGGTCAAGGACTATGGATTTCAAATTAGGCATAAATTTTAAGAGTGGCTTAAAAAGGCTTGACCTTGTATGAATAAATGATTGTTCACTTCACTGAGATGAATCTTGCCTAAAAGGTTTACTAAAAGCAGTAAAAGATGACAAAATATTATTGAGCCCTAGACACTTTTATTTTTAGCACTATGAGTTACAAATAATGCCTACAAACAGGCATACATTTGCAGTTGAATTAATGTGATATAAAGCTTTCATTATACTGAATTTTCAAATTCTAGTTGTGTGGTGCTAGCAATCATTTTAATTGTGAAGAAAAATAGAGACATATGTACCAAATAAATGTTACATATGTGCTGAATTTATAAACTAAAATAATTTGTCTAAACGCTTGTCTTTCCTCATTAATGTTTTATAAAAGATCTTCAAAAACAGAACATAATTTTTTTCAATTATGAATCAGCTGCTACATACTCTTTACCTACAGCTTCTCAAGTAGTTCTCTCTCAAACTAGAATATCAGAACTGCAGAAAGGCATTAACAGCTTTCAAGAGGGTCTAGATACCTTCTGAAGATGTCTGAAATCTCAAAATACTCCTTAAAGGTCATAATTGTGTGTATTTTCAAAGGAAGAAAAGGCTAATAAATGCAGGATAGTGAGACTGTGAAATGTGTCAGATGTCAAGTAATTTTTTTGTGGAAAGGAGTAGAGAACAAAATGGAAATTATTAAATGAAAAGGAAAAATAAAGGTCATGGTTTCAGGTGCAATACAGAATATCTGAGATAATAATTTCAATTTTAATCCACTTGTTACAAAGGGCAACCTTGCCCTACACCTGAAATTCTTAACATACTCATTATGGCCTTGCCATAAAACAGCATGTTAGCAGTCTCTACATTCAAAGGGATGCTTGCAAACTTCATTCATATTAAAATTTACGTAAAATTGTTGGCAATACAATAAGAGTAATATTACATTATGTAAACCATGGCATACCACATTTTACATTATGCAAAGAGGCAATATTTACAAGTCTTTAGGAGTTTAAGTATTTTATCCACTAACATAAGTGATAAAGCAAAGTGCAGGACAAAACCAGTGCCATTAATTGCATGTCCTTTAAAAGCAGAGTAAAACCATTTCTAAAAGCTACCAAAAGCTTATTTACGTTTGTCCAGTAAGGGATTACAGAGCATCAAGTAGCCTAGAAAAATGATGCGAGTTTAGAAACAATGAATATGAAAATTATAAGGCAGCATGCTCAGAACAAGTTTTTGTTTTTTAAACACCAACACTGATGATTCATCTTTAATGGCAACTATCTATATATGTATATGCACACACGCATGTGTGTGTATTTAAAATTGAGAGTGCAAAACACAAGCCTCATTTAACGACAAAAAAGATGTGCAAATGTTCATAAACCAACACAAAAGAGTGAGAAGAATATTCTACCATTATAAAGAATAAGTTGAACACAGCAAAGAAGACCATCTTCATTCCAAATCTACAAGGCACTAAGGGTAGGAAATGACAGGTAACACAGAAGTGACTGGATAAAACTCCTCAGTCAGGTCGGAATATGGGATATTTTGGTAAGAATTCTATTAGTATTACCTGTAAAATAAAAACAAGAATATATTTACAAAATATTTTTCATTTAATATAACTTATAAACAACCCAGAAACTCTATAATCGTTTTTCATAGCACAATATTTCAATTCTACACCATATAAAGTAAGTGAAAATCATGAAAAATTATGTAAAGAACTTAAACCACAAGTTGTAATTAGATTGGCAATTTAAAAATTAAGCTGGCAAACAAAACTACTTATTGTAGCTAACAGATTTTACTATCTGATTTACAATAACTATTTGTCTAGGTTCAGAGGAGCAAACTCTATTATATTATGTTTTTCCCCCACACCCCTATCTTTTTGTTAGCAAAGTAGAGATTTAAAAAAATGCTACACAGATTAAAAAATGTCTTTATATTAGATCTATATATTTTTCAATTAAAGCAACTGATATTAGTTGGAGATTACTATCGTTCACAAGTTGTGAAAAATATAATGTGCCCAAATGGATTGAGTAAAACATATTAATTACAAAAGGTTTGGAAATATAATTTTAAAAAACTCGGATAGTTTTTGAATGTTTTATCTATAATGAATTTAAGACTTGTGGTCATATGCACATTTTCCCCAAAATTATTCAAAGTGTAGAGAGATATGAATAATAATCCTTATTTATGAAACACACATGGAATGTTTATTATTAAATATATACTACATCTTGGAAGTTTGGATAAATTTAATATTCTTTTCAATATTAATTATGCAAAATTGATCACATTGGCTATATGTGAATTTATGTCTTATGACTAAGATTGTATAGCTTTCAGTTAAAACAAAAATTAGAACCTTACAGTTTCTTCACTAAAAGTTAAATGTCAGCCAAAAAAAAAAAGCCATTAATAGGAATCCAGAATGCAGATGTCAACTCCTATTTTATGCAAGTTTTGACAAGATTACATTTAGAAACATTTTGTTCAACAGCAGCTTTCCCCACCACCACATGCTATGGTTTGTGCCTATGTTAAATGATTAAGGTTGTACAATGTTTTCATTTTAGCATACTAACTGAAACTTTTCTAAGATCGAAATGATTGTTAGCTTTCAAGATATTTTAGGTTGGCTACAAATCTAAAGAAGATAGAAGAAAACCTCTATATTTCAATGGACAAAAGTTCTGGCTGAGAAGAAAAAAAGAAGGAATCGTTGACAAATGAGAAACACAGGAAAATGGTACATTTAGAATGAATCAAAAAATAATTAAAAACAACCTCATACTTACATACTCCATCATATTGCTAGTTTCACATTTCCTCTTAGTCAACTTCCAGTGCAAAGCAAGCTAAGAAAGTATAGTCTTGTTAAGAATTTTTATATTAACTTAAACTAATTACAACCTATACATTTGAATAAATCACTGAAAACAATCCAGGAAAAGTACAGGATACAAAACAGAACACTTAAAAATACCTTGTAAAGGATATATATTAAAAATTCAGTATTAGTTCTCTAATCCATTCCTTTGTGGCCTAAAAAATTCCCATTTTGTATTTATTTTTGAATTTAATACTGCAAATACATGAATAGGGCACTTATTTGCTTAAAATTTCTTACCTTGTGATATAATCTGTTATTTTCCCATTCTATTAACTTCTGAATTGATCTTCTGGTCTAAGAAAAATGATCAAGACTTTGTTACAAGATGACCTGAAGAGTTATGTAAACTATGTGCATCTGTATTTTTCTGCCTACTTGCAATATCCCATTACTTTCTCCTTGTTTTTCTATTAGAAATGAGAAATAAGCAATATAAGTGGCAGAAAGTGCTAAAAAGGAGTAAAATTTTGAATGACTATTATAAGATTATCTACCTATCAATCAATCAATCAATCATATTTTTATATATGCTTTCTCAAATGAAATATGTATGAATTTCTTTGTGTTGTGAGGCCATTCACTGGACTACTGTGAAAACCTAAATAATATACTAACTTGAGACAGTAGTTCATTTATGAATTTAATCTAGATTTTCACACAACTGTCATAAGATTACTTTAAATAATCATCTAATGCCAAGCTAATCTAATTTCTCATGGAAAGTTTTCCTACCACAGCTTCTGGCACAATACCTGTCATATAGCATTCAGTCAAGGTCTACAGGCTGAATAAAGCAAGCCAACATATATCAGAATTTCCACTGAAAAGAACATGTTAAAAACAGCCAGTGGAAAAACTTATACTTAGAAAAATATAAATCAGAGAAGCAGTAATGTAGCAAAGAGGGGGACAGAGACTGAGTTGCTTCATTTAGAATCTGTATATTTTGTAGGGAGTACAAAATGTTAAAAAAACTTTTCAAAACATTAAAATAAAAGATGACACCTGCCTAGCTCATCATAGACATTGCCAATACCAGTGTGCCCTACCTGAGAACTAATGGACCCACCCACTGGCTCACTGCAGACACCACCAGGACCTACGTGCTTCTCCCAGGGCCCCAGGGACTATCTGGTCTGGGAGACTGAGGAGCAAACTTCTTGGCCCACTGGGACCTGCATGCCCTGAATGAGGGCCTGAGGACTGGCCCACCCAGGGCCTGCTGCCACCACTTTTTACACCTGCATGGCCCACCCATGGTCCAAAGACTGACATACTCAGGGCAAGCCAATGCCAGTGCCCACATGCACTATCTAGGGGTTTGAGGACCAGTCTACTTGGCACTGCTGTCCCAAACAAAGCCTTACCACAGCCTCCACAATCAACTGAAGCCTGAGCCACTAAGGAACTCAAAGACACTGCTGAAACTGATTACAGCCAAAGTAATTAAAGGAGACTACACTGTGCTGCCCATGCAGAACCAAAGCCAAAGCACCTTACCCAACCAACATTATAGATACATCTACAGGAAAACCTCTTTCCCTGTGGGAACTACTCCACACAAATGAATGAAGTGGCAATTATAGTAGATGTGGATATCAATGTAAGGACAAACAACAACAATAGCAACAACAACAAAGAAAACAAACAAACAAAACCTCCAAAAGGACACAATAATTTTCGAGCAACAGACTCCAAAGAAAATTAAATTTATGAAGTGCCTGAAAAGGCATTAAAAATGATCTTAAGAAAACTGATATATAAGAAAACAAAATAAACAAGATTTAAAACTCAGGAAAGCAATTAATAATCTAGATGAGAAACCCAACAAAGATATCATTAAAAAGAACAAAACAGAAATTCTAGAACTGAAGAATTCAATGAATGAAATTAAAAATACAATAGAAAGCTTCAACAATAGACAAGCAAAAGACAATTTCTGAACTTGAAGAGAAGTCTTTTGAAATAACCTAGGCAGGAAAAAAAAAGATAAAAGGAAAAAGAATAAAGAAAGCCTCTGTGACACCATCAAGCAAACAAATTTTTGACTTGTGGGAGTTCTAGAAGAGAAGAGATGGATAAAAAACATGTTCAATGAAACAATAACTGAAAACGTCCCAAGTCTTGGAAGAGATATAGACATCCAAATACAGAAAGCTCAAAGACTCCAAAAGAGATTCAACTGAAAAGGTCGTTTTCAAGGCACATCATAGTCAAACTGTTAAAGTCAGAATCAGAATTCTAAAAACAGCAAGAGAAATGCAGCAAGTCACATATAAGGGAATTCACATCAACTAACAGGAGATTTCTCAGCAGAAACCTTCCAGGCCAGGAGAGACTAGACAGATCATCTGAACAGGGAATTAAAAAACAAACATCAGACTTAAACTGCACTATAGACCAAACAGACCTAATAGATATTTACAAAACATTTCATCCAACAATTGCAGGATATACATTCTTCTCATCAGCACATGGAACATTTTCCATGACAAAAAACATGTTAAGTAAAAAACTATCTCAAATGGAAGAAAATCAAAATCATATCAAGTATCTTCTCAGACCACCATAGAATAAAACCAGAAATCAATAACAAGAGAAATTTGGAAACTGTGCCAATACATGGAAATTAAATAATGTGCTCCTGAAAGACCACTAGGTCAATAAAGAAATTAAGGAGAAAATAAAGTTTCCAAAAACAAATAAAAAGGAAAAGCAACGTACCAAAACCTATAAGATACAGCAAAAGCAATACTAAGAAAGAAGTTTATAGCAATAAATGCCTACATCAAAACAGTAGATTTGAAAGAAAGAATATAATGATGTACCTCAAGGAACTAGAAAAGCAAGAACCAACCAAACCTAAAATTCATAGAAGGAAAAAATAATACAGATCAAAGCAGAAAAAAAATAGAGACTAAAAAATATGAAAGATAAATGAAAGAAAAAGTTGGTTCTTGAAAAGATAAAGTAGATAAACCATTAGCTAGACCAAGGGAAAAAGAGAAAAGCCAAATAAAGGGAGAGGGGCCAAGATGGCCAATTAGAAGCAGCTGTGGTCCACCACTCTCAAGGAGAGGAATGAAAGGGGTGAGTGAATATAGCACCTTCAACTGAAATATCTAGGTTCTCATGTTAGGACTGATTAGAGAAGTAACTCGACACACAGAGAACAAAAGCAGGGTAGGGCAATGGCCCACCTGGGAGTGACACGGAGCCAAGAGAAACCCACCTCCAGCCCTAGGAAGCAGTGAGTGACTGTGTGACCCTGGGAAACCATGCTTCTCTCAGGGATCTTTGCAACCCATGGGTCAGCAGATCTCCCTGTGAGCCCATGCCACCAGAGCCTTGGGTCCGATACAGAGCTGTATGGAGTCTAGGGGAGCAGCTACTCCGGCATGCACAGAGACCCAAGAGCTTTGCATACTCTGGTCCGGAGATCCCCAGTGAATGTGTCTGCAACTCAGGCAAGACAGGAGGTCTGCATATACGCCTAGGAAGGGGGTAGAGTCCAGGGAGCGAGAGGCATGTTCTGCAGGCCCCATTTCCACCTCACCTCACAAAATAATAATGACTTGGAATCCTAGTCAGCCTCAGGCAACAGGGAGAGGGACAGGTTCTACCTCTACTATTTGGTCGGCTTAGCTGTTCTAGCCTGTGGGCTTTGTAGAATCCAAATGGTCTGGAGGAGAAAGGGGTCCCCCAGCAATGCAGCACAGTGGCTTGGCCAGATTGTCACCAGACTGCTTCTTTAAGTGGGACCAAATCCATTCTTCCACACTGGACAGGACCTCCCAGCCGGATCCTCCAGTCACACCTGCAGGCACCTACTAGGGATAGAGCTCTGATCTCTCTCTGAGACATAGTGTTGCAGGGAATGGGCAGGGGTGGAGGAGGAGGGTCACCACCTGGATTGGTTGGACAACTCAGCAGTTCCACCATGTGGGCTTACAGTCCAAACAATACAGATGAGGAAGGGTCCCCTGAGTAGTGCAACATAGTGGCTTTCCCAGATTGTAGCCAAACTGCTTCTTTAGGCAGGGCACTGATCCATTCCTTCTCACTGGGCAGAACCTCCCAGCAGGACCTTTCAGCCATGCCTGATGGCACCTATTAGGGGCAGAGCTCTGATCTCTCCCTGGGATGGAGTGCCTGGGAGAGAGGAGGGCCACCACCTGGGTTGGTTGGTCACTCAGCTGTTCCAGCCTGCTAGCTTTGGAGAGTCCAAGCGCACAGGGGCAGACGTGGTTCCCCACTATGACACAGCTGTTCTGTTGAGGCACAACCAGACTGCTTCTTTAAGTGGGACCCTGATCCACTCCTCCTTTTGAGGTGTGTCCTCCCAGTTGGAACCTCTGGCCACCCCTCCCCGCTCCGTTCCCTGGGATGGAATGCCTGAGGGGCAAGGCAGGCTGCCAACTTGGCTGTTTGGGCTTATCAGTTGGTCCAGCCTGTGGGCCATGAAAAGCCCAAACTGATCAGGGGCTTAAGGGATAACCAACACAGCATAGCTGCTCTACCAAAATGCAGCCAGAATGGTTCTTTAAGTGGGTGCCTGATCTTATTCCTCCTGACTGGGAGACACCACCAAACGGGTCTCCAGTCACCTCCTACAGGCATGTTCAGGCTGGCAAAAGGTCAGTACTGCCCTGGAATGAAGCTTCCAGAGGAATAGGCTGACTGCCATCTTTTCTGTTTTGCAGTCTTCACTAGTGATACCTTCAGGTATGAGAAAAACTGAGGCAACTAAGGTCTAGAGCAGACCCTCAGCAAACTGCAGCAGCCCTATGGAACAGAGGCCAGACTGTCAGAAGAAAAACAAAGAGAAAACAACAATAAAAAACCACAAAAACTCCATCCAAAGGTCAGCAACCTCCAAAATCAAAGGTAGATAAGCCCACAAAGATGAGAAAGAACAAAAAAATGCTAAAATCTCAAAAATCCAGAGTGCCCCTGTTCCTACAAATGACCACAACACCTCTCCACCAAGGGCTCAGAACTGGGCTGAGGCTGAGATAGCTGAAATGACAGAAGTAGGCTTAAGAAGGTGGGTAATAATGAACTTCGCTGAGCTAAAGGAGCATGTTGTAACCCAATGCAAAGAAGCTAAGAATCATGATAAAACAATACAGGAGCTGACAGCCAAAATAGCCAGTTTAGAGAGAAAAATAACTGATATGTTAGACCTGAAAAATATACTACAAGAACTTCACAATACAATCACAAGTATTAATGGCAAAGTAGACCAAACAGAGGAAAGAATGTCAGAGCTGGAAGACTATCTTTCTGAAATA